GCCAGTCTCCATAAAGTAGTTCTGGGCAGCAGAGAGGGTTTTTCTTCCTTAATCACTGGGTGGGGTGGAGGTGGGAAGTTTCCAGTAACACACATAAAGGAAGGTGAGTAGAAGCTACAGGTACTAAGGAGTTATGGACTGAATGTTTGTATACCCCCTTCCCCCCTATTCTTACGTTGAAGCCCTAATCCCCAATGTGATGATATTTGAATCTGAGTCCTTTGGGAAGTAGTGAGGTTTAGATGAGGTCATTAGGGTTGGGTCCCCCTGATGGGTTTAGCAGAGAAAGAGAGCAGAGCGCTTACTCTCTTGTTCTCTAGGGCATTCACTCAGCACTCACTGTCTGTCTCTCTGCCGTATGAGGACACAGCAAGAAGTCAGCAATCTGCAAACCAGGAAGAGGGCTCTCACCAGGAACTGAATCTACTGGCACCTTGATCTTGGACTTCCTAGTCTCCAGTACTGTGAGAAATAAATTTCTGTTGTTTAAGCTACCCACCCAGTCTGTGGTATTTTGTTATGGCAGCCTGAGCTGACTAAGACACAGGGCCATTTCCCTGCTGCTTAAACTGCCCCGAGAGACAGGCATCTAGAAGCTACAGAAATGCCAACAAATGAGGACTGACTGAGAAAACAGAGAGCACAAATAAAGAATATGGGCTTGCTGTCAGAGCTCTGCTCCTTGGGTCACAAACACTCCGCACCTAAGTTTCCTCATCTGTGAAAGGGTGGTAATAATAGCAATCTCACTGAATTGTTCTGAGAATTAAATGAGGTAATACAAATATATTTCCTGGCACTTGTAAGTGCTCGGTCAATAACTATTTTTACAATACTGAAGCCAGACTCAAGCCTTAGTTGCAGTTCCTTTTCAGTCTGCAAAATCAGAAGAGACAGAAAGGTGTGGTCGACAGAGCCCTGTAGCAGTAATCAGAAGCCCTGAGTTCGAGTCACTGTTTTTGCCATTTTCTCATTGTGACTTTGACAAATTTCTTACCCTTTCCAACTCCAAGTAATAAAAATCAATATGATGATAATTGCTCTCTGCCTCATAGGATGGTTGCAAAAGTCACATTCGACAGGGTATATACAAAAGCACTTTGAAATCTGTCCAACAGGTGCTCGCACAGAAATATTGCAAGAGGTAAATTTGTCAGTATTAATTAAATACCTCCAAGGCTCTCAAACCACATTTTTCAAGCTTTTTTTTACTGCAACCCATTAGAAGAAACATAGTTGACATTGCAAACAGGCAAACATTCACCACTAAAACAAAAGCTTGAATAATATGTATGTCACTGATATTTTTAATTTGATTTTGTTTTTTGTCTTTTTAAAATGCAGATCATTCATTTCACAAAACATGGTCCCAACCCTCAACTCTCACTGGGCATCAGAATCATGTGAAGAGCCTTTAAAAAAATCTGATGCCCAGGCCCACCCACTGAGATTTGGAATCAATGGTTTGGGGTGAGGCCTGGGCATCAACATTCTTAGATAGCCCCAGCTGATTCTCTTGTACAGTCAGGACTGAGCATCACAGAGCTAATGGTTTCCAGCTCACAGCTGGGTTATTTACATCCCTGTCTGCTGAACACTCTGTGCTCTCAGAATATTGCCCCACCCCCACCCTGCTGAAGCTCTGCTGGTAACTGTGAGTGGATTACTTGTTCATGTGGCTTCAGTGCACTCCAGGAAAACAGAAAGGAATGAAGATCAAAGTGGAGCCTGGACTTTATGGGAGGCCTTTCTCCTCCCAGATGGCTGGGTAACTTCATGCAGAACAAAAACTAGAGAGGATCTGGAGAATTTTGCTAAAAGTGCAGGGACCCTACAGGAACTTTTTGCTTGAGTAGGAGGGGTTAAGGAAAAGTAAAGGGAAACTGCCAGACCTCCTTGCCTGCTCTGACCATGCAACGACTGGGGTCTCAGGAGAGCTTGGAGATAAGCTCAGTGGAAGGGGGCTTCATGGCCTGGCTAGCTCCTCCTTCGAGGTGTAGCTCAGGTGAAACAGAAAGCTCCTCGGTGCTCAGCTCATCTTTGCTCTACGTAAGACAGATCTGGGAGGCTGTCCTGTTCACCTGGCTGGAGTGATTTGCAGCCTATACTTCCCAGAACCAGAGCAGAACCTGAGCCAGAATGCAGGAGGAACCATGGATGCTGGAGGCCATAAGTCTATGTCTCTGCCCTTTTTTTGGACACAAGGATGCGATCAAGAAATCTGAACTGGTTCTGTACCCAGTCCATTAAAAAACCAAAGCTGTGTCTGTTGAGAATTTACTAACCAGACATAATACAAGAGTTAACCATTTACTGGGTGCCTTCTGTGTGCTAAGTATCTCATGTATGTCTACATTATCTCTTCAGGCATGCATTGGAAGAAAAGGGAGATGTGGATAATTTTTCACACTGTGTGACATGGAATCCCGAGGCTGAAATGAATTTTTTAGAAATTCTTTTCCCCTTGCTTCTATACAGATCTTTTCACATAAAACCTCATGTACCAGGCATTAACCATACACATGAATTAAGTGACTTTCTGGATGTGTGTGTGTGTGTGTGTGTGTGTGTGTGTGTGTGTGTGAGAGAGAGAGAGAGAGAGAGAGAGAGAGAGAGAGAGAG